GAGCTGAGCTCTCCGGGGCTGAGTTCTCCGGCGCCCGGTTCTCCGGAGCCCAGTTCTCCGGGGCTGAGTTCTCCGGCGCCCGGTTCTCCGGAGCTGAGCTCTCTGCGTCTGAGTTCTCCGGCGCCCGGTTCTCCGGAGCTGAGCTCTCTGGGTCTGAGTTTTCCGGTGCCCGGTTCGCCGGGGCCCAGTTCTCCGGGGCTGAGTTCTCCAGCACCCGGTTCTCCGGGGCCGGGCTCCACAGCTCCATGGCCGTGTGTGGCTCACCGGGGATATAAATCCTCCTGCTACTGCAGCGAACCGTCCATTACAGCCGTGGTGGGGTCTAGATTATAGCCCGGCTGCGGACCGTGGAGACCACGCAGCTGCTGGGGAGTCCCAAAGCCAGCAGGGCAGGACGCAGCCTCACCTCTGTAGAAGGGTCTGGCCGGCCAACAGCCCCAGTAACACGCAGGGCAGACACGGCTAGCAACAAGCCTGTGGTTTGCACCGGAAGACGCTCCAAGACGTAAAGAGTGAAAATAATGATCACATGGGCTGGGGGCTTCCTCCTCCCACCCCCCCCCCCCCCACTGCTCCAGCAGCCGGGCCAGCGAGCTCAGGGGCACAGCAGGAGAGAGCAGAAGAGGGTGAATCTGAGGGCGGGCCCTGCCTCCCACAGACAGTCCCCGGCCCCCCAGATGAGGAATAGCACCGACACCAAGGGGAGCTGTAATGCTGGTTTTTAATGTCCCTAAGAACTAGGAAACAAAAATCAAAAATAGACTTTCCTTTGCTTTCTTTGATAAAAGTAATAAAACGGTTAGCGGGGTTAAATTAATCCTTAAAAAACAAAACCCAAGGAGGTTAAATAAAGCCCAGTGGGCTCTGGGTAAAAACCACAACGACTACAAAACAGCTGCAAAGACGTTTTTACACACAAAAAGAAATTCCTTTTCTCTGCTTTTCTTGTATATGGTAAACAGCTTCGGCAAACACGGAACTCGCACATGTGGAAAGGAAACATGGACGCTACGGAAACAAACCCTGCAGGGAGCCTGGTCGCCACGGACAGAACTATTGACCCTGTGAACACGGAGCTGGGTTCTGTGCCCGGCCAGCAGGAAGAGCCTCTGGCCCCTGCCGGCTTTTCTCTTGGAAACGACAGGCTTCAGCCAGCTGCCAGGGACCTGCTAGGCCACAGCTCTGTCTGTCAGTCCGTCCGTCCTTCCTTCATCCGTCCCAGCTCCAGCTGCGTCTTCCTCAGAGCTTTAGTGTTTGAAGGGGCTGCAGACTCTTCCTATGACTGCGACGTTTGGCTTCTTTGCCCCTCGTCTAGGGCAGCAGCCGATCTTCTTCCCACGGGGCATAAGGCGAGGGAATCTCCCTCCACTCGGGTGAGGAAAGTGGCCTTGCAGGTTTACAGAGGAAAGCAAGCAGTGTGGAGCTGCCTGAAGAGAGTCCCCCAGGCCTGGCACTACACAGCCAGCAGTCTCTCCACCTGCCACATCAAACCTCCCCTCCTCTGGAGCACTGTTCCCTTCGCCCCCTGCTGTCTGTCCCCACACACTGCTCTCTGCAGATTAATTGGCATTGGTCTCCCGGCTGGTGCTTTGCTCTCCGCCCGTCTCCCGATCTTTCTCTGCTGTCGAGGAAGAGGTGGAGGAGGAAGAGGAGGTGGAGGAGGAACCCGTGGAACTGAGGGTCCGTCCCGAGTGCTTATAGGCTGTGACGAGCTCCTGCAGCCGCTCTGGCGTGGGCTCCCACTTGGTGAAGCCTGCGTTGTTTTGTAGGAAGATGATAGCAGTGTTGTGCACGGCTTTGTAGTACATCTCCTCTCTGCAAGGGAAGACGACAGGTGCTCAGTACTCGCTTCGTGTCCAACCAGTCGCTCAGCTGCACCTGGACCCTCCCACCCTGCCATCTCCCGTCTCCCTGCAGTAACTGTGGGGGCTGGCAAGCCCTGAGAGGGGATGCTCTCGGCCAGCCCCAGGCACAGGGCACAGCCTCGGGGAGGTCCAGGCAGTGCAGGGCCAGGGCCTGGTGCCTGCAGGACACAGGGGAGCAGCAGGCTCAGGTGGAGGGGAACTCGAAGATCTCACGGCACAGACACTGGCAGAAGCTGTAAAAGACACAGAGAAGGAGGGTGGAGGGCACCAGGCTGACCAGCACGATGCCCAGGTTGTGGCGCTCAATGAGCAGGAGGTAGATGCCGAAGGGCAGGGAGCTGAAGTAGATGAGGCAAAGCATCCAGAGGATGAAGTGGGGTATGGCATGCCAGGTGCAAGAGCGGCATTTCTGGATGGGGCCGCGGCAGGGCAGCGAGTCCAGGCTGGTGGGGCGGTACAGGCGTATCATGTCCAGCATGCCCAGGCCTTCGGGGGGCGCCACGTCCTCTGGCACCTCCAGGATGGTGATGACCAGGCAGTCAGAGGAGCTGCGGGAGGGCTCCAGGACGCTGGGGCACAGGATGACCTCAGGGGAGGGCAGAGTGCCTCGCTTCTGTGCCCGCTCGTGGTATGTCAGCACTGCCAGCACCTTGCTGTCATCCTGGAGCAGCTGCACGTCCTCCTCGGGGACCTGGGTCTCCTGCCGGCAGAAAGGGCAGCTGAGCAGGCGGGGCGAGGACTCCCCCATGGCCACCATCTTGCGCAGGCACTTGGCGCAGACCCGGTGGCAGCAGCTGAGGAGCTTGGGCTTGCGGGCCCGTGCGTCGTAGCGATTGTAGCAGATCTTGCACTCCAGCTCGTGCGCCGTGAACACCAGCGGCTGGCAGCTCTCCAGCTTGCCATCCTTGTGGCTCATGGTCTCCCTTCCGGAAGCCGCTCGGAGCTCCTGGAGAGAAGGTCCTAGAGCCCAGCCTGGGGAGAGGGACGGGGAGACCTCCATGAGTAAAGGGTTTGTAAGCGGAGTCCCAAGTGCCCTGCCCCTCCCTCGGGGCCTCCAGCAAAGCCACCCCAGGCTAGAAAGGGTGAGGGGCCTCGTTCGGGGCAGCAATTCAGGGGGCTGTGCAGTGCAGGGAGCCAAGGAGAGCCCTTCGCTCGGACCCTGCCCTATCCCGCCTGGGCTGGCGTGTGGCCCCGGCCTCCTGGCAGGTGTGCACATCGCAGGACGTCATCAGAGCTGGCACCTGC